GAGCCATATATATATATATATATGGCGCCACTTCTGGTTTTCTGGTGGTTCATGGGAGAGAAGAGTCTCCCGGGGACTTTCCTGTCTGGGGCTGGCCTCGAACCACGATCCTCCAGATCTCAGCCTCCTGAGCAGCTGGGATGACAGGCAATGAGTCACCAGCGTCCAGCTCAAATTATTTGATTCTTTCCAAACAGCCCCTTCTCACTTTTTGCTTTTCCTTAGCCAGTCCTGAGACTTGAACTCAGGGCCTGGGCACTGTCCCTGAGCTGCTTTAGACCAGTGGCTCACGCCTGTCTTCCTAGTTCCTCAGGAGGCTGAGGTCTGGAGGATCCCCGTTCGAGGCCAGCTCCAGGCAGGAAAGTCCCTGAGACTCTTCTCTCCTATGAACCACCAGAAAACAGGAAGTAGCATTTGTGGCTCAACATGGTAGAACATCAGCCTTGAGCCAAAGAAGCTCAGGGACAGTGCCCAGGCCCTGAGTTCAAGCCCCATCAAAGCCAGGCTGTGCAGCCGGTCTCTCGCTCCATCCGGGTGGCCCTGTGGGAAGCCAGGGGGTCCCCCCTGGTGAGCCAGTGTCCCGTCCTCCCCGCCCTCCAGAGTGGGTTCGTCACGGGCACTTTTGATCTTCAAGACGTCCTGTTCCACGGGGGCAGCGGCTTCACGGTGCTGCGCTGCACCAGCTTCGCGCTGGAGGCCTGCGCCCACCCCGACCGCCGCTACTCCCTCGCCGACCTCCTCAAGTACAACTTCTACCTGCCCTTCTTCTTCTTCGGGCCGGTCATGACCTTCGACCGCTTCCACGAGCAGGTGAGCCCAGACCCCCTCCCCCCTCCATGCACCGAGGCCTTGATGGTGCTCTACCATTTGGACCACACCTCCATGGCCAGCTTTGGGCTGGCTTCATTGGAGACGTAAAAAAAAAGTCTCATAGATTTTTGTGCTCGTTTTGAACCACGATCCTCCGGATCTCAGCCTCCTGAGTACCTAGGCTGACATGTCGCCCTGGGAGCCCTGGCTAGGGGCTCTCAGAGCCTCGGAACACCCCCTTCCCCCCGCAGGTGAGCCAGGTGGAGCCAACAAGGGCCGAGGGTGAGCTGTGGCGGATCCGGGCCCAGGCGGGGGTCAGCGTGGTGGCCATTCTAGCGGTGGACATCTTCTTCCACTTCTTCTACATCCTCACCATCCCTAGTGACCTCAAGTTTGCCAGCCGCCTCCCGGACAGCGCCCTCGGTGGGTGCCCCAAGGGGGTGGGGGGGGGAAGGACGTAGCTCTGCACCCCCAAAACACACAGGGCCCGGGAGGAAAGGCCCTGACTTCCTCCCTCCCTCCCTCTCCTCCTCCTCCTCCTCCTCTTTTCCCTTCTTCCTTCTTTCGGTGTGTGCTGTGGCTGGTGCTCCACCACTTGAGTCACACCTCCCAGGGCTGGCTTCGAACCGTGATCCTCACATCCTCCGCCTCTGGACTAGCTGGGATGACGGGCGGGAGCCAGCAGCCGGGGTGCATCCTCGGAAAATGCCCCGGGCTTTGGCGTGAGCGTGGCTCCTGGGAGGCAGGGTGCCCGGGTCCGTCCCAAACCGTCTGTCCTGCTGTACCCAGGCCGGTCTTAGTTGGGGGCGCGGCCTGGGAGTGGGCGTGTCCCACGCAGGGCAGCTGTTAATGGAGGCGGGTGTGGCTGGAAAGGAGGGGGCGTGGCCTGGGAGTGGGCGTGTCCGACGGGGGCAGTTAATGGAGGCGGGTGTGGCTGGAAGGGAGGGGCGTGGCTTTCAAGTGGGCGTGTCCGACGCAGGGAGTTGTTAATGGAGGAGGGTGGGAGGTGGAAGGGAGTGGGCGTGGCCTTGAAGTGGGCGTGTCCAGTGTTGGCAGTGCTCAATGGGGGTGGGTGGGGCTGTGAAGGGCGTGGCCTTTGAGAGGGTGTGTTGGGCGCAGGGACTTCTTGAGGTGGGTGGGGCTGGAAGGGAGGGGCGTGGCCTTCGAGTGGGCGTGCCCGGTGCTGGGAATTCCTAATGGAGGTGGATGTGCTGGAAGGGAGGGGGCGTGGCCTCGGAGGGGGCGTGGCCGCGGGGTGGGCGTGGCCGGTGCAGGGCAGTTCTCAACGGAGGCGGGTGGGGATGGAAGGTAAGGGGCGTGGCCGCCGAGGGGGCGTGGCCGATGCCGGGCGGTTCTCAATGGAGGCTGGAAGGGGCGTGGTCTTCGAGTGGGCGTGTCCCCACAGGGCGTGAGTAAAGGGGAGGGAGGAGGGAGGGAGGCGTGTCCGCAGGCCCGGACGGCGGCGGCGGTGACCCCGGCGTCCGTCCGTCCGTCCGTCCGCAGCCGGCCTGGCCTACGCGAACCTGCTGTACGACTGGGTGAAGGCGGCCGTGCTGTTCGGCGTGGTGGGCGCCGTGGCGCGGCTGGACCACCTGCAGCCGCCCGCGCCGCCCAAGTGCATCACGGCGCTCTACGTCTTCGGGGAGACGTGAGTGCCCACGGGGGGGGGCGGCGGGGCCCCCCACCCGCCCTCCGCTCACCTCCCCTGCCCTCCCCCCCACAGGCACTTCGACAGGGGCATCAACGACTGGCTTTGCAAGTGAGTGGCTCAGGGGTGCGTGCGTGTGCGTGCGTGTGTTTGTGCGTGCGTGTGTGTGCCCGTCCTGGGTCTGGAACTCGCTCCCCGCTTTTGGGGGGTGGTTAACTGGAGATCAGAGTCTCACGGACCTGCCTGCCAGGGTTGGCTTTGAACCACGATCCTCCAGATCTCACCAGCTAGGATTCCAGGCATGAGCCATTGGTGTCCAGCAGAGAGAGAGAGAGATCTTTATGGAGACTCAAGGATTGTTGAGTCTAAATGTCTGAGGGGGAGGAGGCCGGGGGAGGCTGGGCAGGTGGCTCAGGGGTAGAGTGCCCGCCCAGCATGCACAAAGCCTTGGGTTCGATTCCTCAGTACCACATCCACAGAAAACGCCGCAAGTGGCGCTGTGGCTCAAGTAGTAGAGCGCCAGCCTTGAGCAAAAGAAGCTCAGGGACAGCGCCCAGGCCCTGAGTTCAAGTCCCAAGACTGGCAAAGCCAATTCATTCATTCATTCATTAAAATGTCTGAGAGGCAGAGAAATCTGGTTCACCCCACTGCACCTTGGGGTGTCTGTCCATCTTTGTGTGTGTGTCCCAGTACTGAGGCTTGGATAACAGAAAGTTGGGGTGTCAAGGAACACAGCTACAGCAGCTATGCATCACATGCGCCCCGGGCCTCTACCAGCCTGCTTCTCCCATCTTTCCTCTCCCCCTCCCCTGCAGATACGTCTACGATCACCTTGGAGGGGATCACACCTCCGTGGTCCCAGAGCTCGTGGCCTCTGTGGCCACATTCGCCGTTACCACTCTGTGGCTTGGGCCGTGTGACATCGTGTACCTCTGGTCCTTCCTTAACTGCTTTGGCCTCAACTTCGAACTCTGGGTGCAGAAGCTGGCGGAGTGTGCACCTCTGGCACACATCGAGGTGAGCCAGGGATTGGGGGGGGGACCCACAGGAAACGGTGACACGATTACTTTCTGGAATTATCCAGCCTGGGGCCCCAGTCAAGAACTTTCTCCCCTGGGTGGGCACTGGTGGCTCCCTCCTGTCATCCTAGCTACTCAGGGAGGCTGAGATCTGAGGATCATGGTTCGAAGCCAGCCACGAACAGGAAAGTCCATGAGACTCTTATTTCCAATGAACCACTCAAAACCAGAAGTGGTGCTGTGGCTCAAGTGGTAGAGCGCTCACCTTGAGCACAAAGAAGCTCAGGGACAGCGCCCAGGCCCTGAGTTCAAGTCTCACAACTGACAAAAAGAAAAGAAACCTGACTCTACTTCCATAGATCCAAGCTCAATACTCCCATGCCTGGCTATGTTGGTCAAGTCTTTAACCTCTCCCTGGGCCTCAGTTTCCCCATATTTAGCAATGAAGAAAGGGCCTGGGTGGTTCTAAAGGCCCCGGTCACTGGCTCACCCCCCAACTCTCTCTTTCTTTCTCTCTCCCTCTCCCTTTTGGGCAACAAACATTTCCCTGGACCAAGTAGGGCTCTCTGTCGGAGCAGATGTCTCGCAGGGTTCGAGGCCTCTTTGGAGCTATCAACTACTGGGCTATCATCATGTACAACCTCGTGAGCCTCAACAGCCTGGCGTTCACCGAGCTGGTGGCCCAACGCCTGCTCCTCACAGGTCAGCAAGAAACAACTGTGTGTGCATCCTTCCCGCCCACTTTCTGCCAGTCCTAGGTCTTGAACTCAGGGCCTGGATTCTATCCCTGAGCTTCTTTGTGCTCAAGGTGAGCGCTCCACAATTTAAGCCACGTGTATGGCGCCACTTGGGGTTTCCTGGTGGCTCATGGGAGATCAGAGTCTCGCAGACTTTCCTGCCCTGGGCTGGCCTCGCACTGCGATCCTCCAGATCTCAGCCTCCTCTTGCGTAGCTAGGATGACAGGCGTGAGCCACTGGCATCCAGTAGAGAGGGCTTTCCCGGGTGGGTAGATGGGGCACAGAAATGGGAAGAAATGAATCGCTAGGTGCGAAGAGCTCCAGACATCAGTGGCTCCTCTCCCAACAGGCTTCCCTCAGACCACACTGGCCATTTTGTTTGTCACCTACTGTGGGGTCCAGCTGGTGAAGGAGCGGGAGCGAACCCTGGCACTGGATGAGGAGCAGGGGCAGGACAAAGAGAAGCCGGAGTAGATGGATGGGAGGGCAACGCGTTGATTGGCTGTGGATGAGGAGTAAGGGGCGGGACAGAGAGGAGCTGGAGTAGATGCATGGGAGGGCATTGATTGGTTGTGGATGCAGAGCGGGGGCGGGACAGAGAGGAGCTGGAGTAGATGGATGGCAGGGCGCTGATTGGCTGTGGATGAGGAGCAGGGGCGGGGCAGAGAGGAGCCGGAGATGGATGGGAGGTGAAGCATTGATTGGTTCGGCTCAGCTATGTCTGGGTGATAGAATAAAAAAGACTTTTCTACCATAGCCTGGTTGTTCCCCCATTTCCCCCCTGCCCCCCAAACAGGAGCAGAGAAGAGGGAGCACAGGAAGGCAGAGATCATGACCTAACGAATCTTCCAGACACTTAGGAAGAATGGCCACTTGGCCTACTGGACTCCAGATCTGGAGTTAGTGGTTTGCTTGTACTTATTTACTTTTATTTACTTTTGTCTGGGCCAGCCCTGGGACTTCAACTCAAGGCCTGGGCGCTGTCCCCTGAGCACTCTTACCATTTGAGCCACAGCTCCACTTCCATGGAGTCTCTTGGAATTTCCTGCCCGGGGCTGGCTTCGAACCGCCATCCTCAGATCTCAGCTTCCAGAGGAGCTAGGATGACAGGCGTGAGCCACTGGTGCCCAGCTAGAGCCTTGATTTTGTTGTTGTTGTTGTTGTTATTTGCCAGTCCTGGGGCTTGGACTCAGGGCCTGGGCGCTGTCCCTGAGCTTCTTTGGTTCAAGGCTGGTGCTCTACCACTTGAGCCACAGCGCCACTTGTGGCTTTTTCTGAGTATGTGGGACTGAGGAATCGAACCCAGGGCTGCATGCATGCTAGGCAAACACTCTACCACTGAGCCATTGTTTCTGTCGTTCTTGCTGATTGATCTCTGCTTTCGGCAGAAACGTGGCTGACTACACAAGAAAGTCTCCATGAGTTCTTGGTCTCTCTCAGCAATCCTCCTTAGAGCGCCCCCTGCAGTCAGGGCCTGTGCAGGTCACGCAGGGTAGACAAGCTGGTCACATCTTGGTCAGGCGAAGGATGTTAAGCCTCACGGGCAGGAAGGTGGCCCCGGCCGCATATGGGATTTCCCGCAGCACCCCTTCCCACTTCTTCTCTTCCTCGTTATATCTGGGGGGACAGAGGCCGGGGGGGGGGAGAGACGTTGGTCAGCTGATCCACTGGGAGGAGTGAGCCCTGGAGCCGGGGCCAGACTGCCTTCTTACATCTCCACCCCATCTCTTTTTTGGGGTGGCTTCATTAGAGATGAGAGTCTCATGGTCATTCCTCCCTGGGCTGGCCTCGAGCCGCGATCCTCCAGATCTCAGCCTCCTGAGTTGCTTCCCATGACAGGCTGTGTGCCCAGCTGGCTGGATCAGTCTTAGACAATTCCCATGCTGCCAGAAAGGGGGTCCAAGAAAGCCCACCCCCACTCCTCCTCACATTCTGGGAAGGATCCCACCACTCGGTTTCCAAAAAGCCCCCCTGAGCCGGGTGCCGGTGGCTCACGCCTGTCACCTCAGCTCCTCAGGAGGCTAAGATCCGGAGGATCGCGGTTCAAAGCCAGCCTAGAGCAGGAAAAGTCCCTGTGAGACTCTGATCTCCACTGAACCACCAGAAAACCAGAACTAGTGCCATATATATATGGCTCAAAGTGATAGAATGCCAGCCTGGAACACAAATTGCTCAGGGACAGCGCCTAGGCTGTGAGTTCAAACCCCAGAACCAACAACGACACGGAAAAAAAAAGCCCCCCTGTACCCCACTCTGCCCTGGAGGCTGCCAGGTGTCTGAAACTTCTTCCCCCTACTCTTTGCTCCCCAAGAATCAGCTGTGGGAAGCAGAGTCTCTCAGAAGCAGGGTGTCCTACCCACTGACCCTCATCAGAAGATGGGGGGAAGACACGGGGTGGGGTCTTGCAAACCCGGACTTGTCCCTCGCAGACTAGTGAGAAGCTGGGATTAAGGGAGGTCTTTGTGGTCCCTTCCCCTAGCACTCCTGGAAAGCGGGGTGGCTTTTACCTAGATGGTGCTGTGGGCCATCCATCTAGCTTGGGATGTCCCCCCCAAGCCCCGTGACACCCCCTGGGGGCTGGGCTTACCTCCAGATGTCACTGAGCTCTGTAGGGACCAGCTCCCCAGACTCAGTCTCCAGAGTGGCAAAGCCACCGATGGCGTAGAGCGTCCCAGTCAGGCTGACCAGGCTGAGCGAGCTGCGTTCCTGGGGAAAGGCCTCGAAGGGGGACCATCTGAGGGGGCGAGAGAGGAAGCAGGGAGCCTGGGGGCCTTCCACAAATTCATTTGCACCCCCTTTGAGGTCTGAATACCAGGTCTCCGTTACCTGGGGCTACCTTCTTTTTGCTGATTTTATTTATTTGTTTTGGCCAGTCCTGGGGTTTGAACTCAGGGCCTGGGCGCTGTCCCTGAGCTTCTTTGGCTCAAGGTTGGGCACTCTACCACTTGAGCCACAGCACCACTTCTGGCTTTTTTCTGTGTCTGTGGTGCTGAGGAATCGAACCCAGGGCCTCAGGCATGCAAGGCAAGCGCTCTACCACTGAGCCACCTTCCCAGCCCAGAATCTGCATCCTAGCCGGGCCGTGGCTCCTGCCTGGCCCCCCAGCTACGCAGGAGGCCGAGGTCTGAGGATCAGGGTTTGAGGCCAGGCCAAAAAACCCCCAAAGACTAGAAGTTGTGTGGCTCCAGTGTAATCAGCCTTGGGGTGGGGGGACGGCCACGTGGGAGCCGGAGGCCCCGGCACCCCAACACACACACACAGGCACCCCTCTTGCCGGAGACGCCCTCTGCTCCCTTCTGGTCGCCTGGGGGGGGGCAGCTCCCTACTTGTTGTCGGCGATGCTGTACACCTCGGCCGAGCCGGTCAGCCCCGTGTCGGTGACCCCCGCGGCCACGAAGATGCGGCCGTCGTGGACGGTGGCCCCGAAGAGCGAACGGGGGGTGCGCATGGGGGCCAGCTCCTTCCACTCGAACCGCTTCGGGTCGTAGACGCACATCCTGCTGAGGCACTTCCTGGGGGGTGGGGAGGGGGAGGCGGGGCGTGGAGGGGGCTGGGGTGGAACCCCTGCTCCCCATCCTGGCCTGTCCCGCCCCCCGGGCCTGGCCTGTCCCCCCCCGGGCCTGGCCTGTCCCCCCCCGGGCCTGGCCTGTCCCCCCCATCCCGGGCCTGGCCTGTCCCCCCCCATCCCGGGCCTGCCCCGCCCCCCCCGGCCTGGCCTGTCCCCCCCCGCCGGGGGAGGGGGCGGGGCCTCACCTGTCCCCGCCCTTGCCGCCGATGACGTAGACGAGGTCCAGGTGCGAGAGCACGGCGTGGCCGTACACGGCGTAGGGCAGCGGGTCCGACTCGCCCCATTTGAACGACCTGGATGATGAGGGGGAGGGAGGGGAAATGGGGGGAGGACTGGCTGGGGGTGCCCACCAGGCCTCTGAGGGTCGCCAGCCGCAACTCGGGTGCATCCCGCACATCCCGCAGAGCACCCCGCCCCGAACCTCCGGCTTCCAGCGCGCCCCGGCCGCCCCTCGGCGGGCCCCGCCCACCAGCCGGCCACGCCCCTATCAGGCTCCGAGCCTAGGCCAGACCACGCCCCGCAGGCCACGCCCATGCGCACGGCGGTCATTTCACCCGTCCAGGCCCTGCAGGCCCAGGCCCCGCCCCCAGACCCGGCCCTGGCCACGCCCACACGCGCCAGCAGTTGTAGGACAGCAGAGTCTGCAGGCCCCGCCTCTCTCAGGCCCCGCCCTCCCGCAGGCCCCGCCCACACGCGCCAGCAGTTGTAGCACAGCAGAGTCCGCAGGCCCCGCCCCGTCCCCGCAGGTCCCGCCCTCCCGCAGGCCCCGCCCACACGCACCGGCGGTCGTAGCACATCACCGAGTCCAGGCAGCTCTCGCCGTCGCGCAGGCCCCGCCCCGCCCCGCAGGCCCCGCCCATC